GCGCCGTTGACTCACCGTTGTTCTCACTGTGTGCATTGATCAGAAATGAGCTTGGCTTGATCAAGTTCCAGCTCTCTCTCTCTCTCTCTCTCTCTCTGTTTAACGTATACTCTGTCTTTCACTCCTGTATACATACTCTCCCACATAGATGCGCTCACAGGTACCGAAATGTGTCACTGATTGATTTATCGTGAACCTGGTAGTACCAGCGCAATTCAGTCGGCACCCTCAAAAGTACCGATCTCAGTACCCAACCCTGTCTTTAACTGTTGTAAATGTTGATTGGTATCTTGGTAGCGGCGTCTCATGCACTGACTCAGCCATTAAGATGAGAGAACGCACACACTGTAACATCTTCAAGACATTAATCATGGTCTATTGCAGCCTAACATCCATCTCTCTTCCTCCGGCTCTGCTCAGATTTAGTCAGTGTCAAACTCTGCTGTTTTCATGCTGAGAAAAATTGCCTGTCTCATTCCAGCACAGCTTTGCTTCATTTTACATCATTTATCACGGTGAAAGCTGTTGTTTGCTGTAGGAAATTTCCAAGTAATATTGAAACCATGCACAGATGCTTTATACACACATCCAACTTTGCTGTGGTGGTTGAGACTAAGCAGTGTGTGTTTGTGTGTTTCTGTCTGTCTGTGATGCAGGAGATGGAGGAGAGAATCCAGCATTTTGATACATTCCTGTGACACGGTGAAATTGTACATGTCAGGTAGATCCTGAACAACCTGGGACCACAAAGACACAAACTTGAGTGAGGGAACGTGAAGGAGCCTCTGAGTCCAGCCCTCGACACGAAAACAAACGGAAAAAAATCCAGCACCCTCCTCTTGGAAAGGGAGGGTGCGCAAGGACGAGGTTGAGGATGGAGACATTTAATGGTGCTATCGTCTCAGGAACCTGGCCAGATCCAGACCCATTCTACACAACCAAACTCCTGGAGGTGTGTCAGTCACACATCACACGCACACACACCATCAGTGACAGGCTACTCTGGTGCTACTCGGGTGCTATCCTAACTTTTATCCATGCTGCTCTTGGGATTACTTCTTAAATCGGATGACTAGCAAAACCAACAGATCGGGTGATGTCATATCACAACCTGGCCGCTTCTTTCCAGAGCAAGCCGTGCGTACACACTTGCACACACACTGACGATTGGTTTTGTAAGCATTTCTACAAATTCACACCAGAAATGTGTACACAAAGACACACACACTTTCAGATCCTCACCAGCAGAAGTGTGAATGCAAAGAGCCGCTGAGGGGGGGGGGGGGGGGGGTAGATAATGTCTCTAAGGTTGCTGAGTCCATCTTGCCCATAAGCGCAGCAGCGCTTCATCACAGGCCAGTTATTAACACGATGTTACGCAGCTCGCTTTTATCTCGAACCAGTTTAGTTACTTGATTAGTTGAATATCTGAGCCACTGTGGAGGACACTCAACCAGAACTGGAGTTTACAGAGAACTTTTTAAGTGCGAACACAAACTTGCTGAGGTTAGCACAGCAGGATGAGGAGCGATTATGTCCTCTTCATTACAGCAGTCATCAGGTGTGGAAAGCTGTCAGCCCCCCTCCTTCCTTCCTTTTTTTCCCCCCAAGAGTTACTGGCAAACAAACGTCACCTGTAAATCAGCTGTAAAATCCACCTCACTCCACACGTTTGCTCACAGACAGCCTCTGTCCTTCTCCATCTCAGCAGATTATCATGTCCTAAATAGTTTGTTTGCTAGCTGCACCCTCCCACCCTCCTTCCCTCCATCCCTCCCTCCCTCCCTTTGTTCACAGTATGAATGTTTTCCGCTCCCAGTTGATGATTTTCCTATCGACACCCCCGGCTGAGAAACTGGAAGCAGTATAAATTGGAACCCGTCTGTAGTTTTGCACTGCCTAGTGTGTGCCTTATTTAAAACCTCATGAAACTCTGATATATTAAGCAGGATGTTTTTTTAATTTTATTTACTTAAGTCTTGTGACAATGAACGCGCCCCAAGGTGGGGTGGGTCTTAACCATTGAGGTCACAGTGACCGTGAAGCAAAAAAAAATGTTTTTATATATCTCGGTGCCATTAGGATGATTAACAATCATATCTAGGTTTTTACATCTCTGCTGAGTTATAATGTCGACATGGGCCAACAAATTATTTTGAAAGCATCTGAAAACCTGAGGAAAACAATTTTTGTGTCGTAATGGAATTTAAATGTATTCACCTTGTACCACAATACAGTCAGGGAAGGTCAGACTCCACCTGATCAGACCGCAGGAAACTTTTTCTTCAGTTTTTCATAGGAAAGATAAATAATAATAATTCTAATAATAATAATAATGGTGTGAATCAAATGATCTATGGTGCCAAGTGTTATCCCACTCCCTCAAAAAGGTGCTGACAAAAACAGCACGTGTTCACAGGATTTCTGTCAGACGCTCATACGACTGATGTATTACGTTGTATATTTGATTACTGTTTTTTACTTTTTTTACAAGATGCTTTGCTTGTTTTTTGTTTTTGCGTGTGTTGTGATTCCATACTGAACAAGGTCATTCTAGGCAGTGCCCCTCACTAAGATGTATAAAGCATTACATGATATTATTTTTTTTTTGTTCTTTCACGTGTATGTTCGGACTTTATGGATTTTTTNATTTGTGGCCAACACAGTATGTGTTTTTTTCTGTCTACAGTTAATGAAGGTGTTCACTGAATTTTTTTCATGCCACATGTATTTGTTTTTGGGGCAGAGATGCCGTGTTTCGAGCGGGTGTAGCCAGACGTAGGCCCTCTTCTTTTCTCTCAGAGCACTCCTCCCCCTCCTATCCTCAAACTCCTCCAAGTGAAACTCTGACCCCAGCTCACCTCTGCCTATTTCTCAGATTCTGGGTGACACAAAAAAGCAAACTGGCAACGACAGGTTAGCACTTGGACTACTGCAGAGACAAATAAAACCAACGCTACCTCAGCTTAATTTATTTAAAAACTGTTTACTGGGTACATAAACAGTATTTTCTTTTTCTCACACCCCCCAAAATACTGTTGCAACATCTACAGTACCATCCTCTGTACCAGATCAGTGCAACCAAGGCTGCTGCAGTAATCCAACAGTTGTTTATATCTCTCTGAGTGTTATGTACGTTTGCATTTGAGCCAGATGACGATTGCATTAATTTTAAGAAAACTTAACGGAACTGTTTTTTTTTATGCTTTAGATTCAGGTTGTCTTATTTTCTACTGTATATTGACACTGAGGAGGCGTCCTACATCTGCTCCTCTTTCACATCATCACCCCGTATCTACAGAGGATTTTATTTGGCCTCTTTACACATGCTCAGCCCCCCCCCCCCCCAAATTTTCATCTCATTGAATCTTATTTATTATTAAACATGTTCTACACCTAATATTCAGTCAACTGTCTTTTTGTACGTCTAAACTTTAAAGAATGGGGAAGCAACACGTGTCTGTTTTTAAAACAATTTTGCTGAATCTCTCAGCGTTTGTGTAGCAGGTTTTTTTTTGGAGGGGGTGTACGGGGAAATAAAGGGTTTACAGGTCTCTCAGGTTTAACACGCGACAACATACCCTTTCAACTTTTTCTATTTATTTCATTGTTCTGGTGTTTTGTTTGTTTTGAAGTGGTTACGGATTGTGGCATACTGGAAGAGACGAACATTAGGATGGAACAGGATATTTAAAAACGTAGTGTCTTTGAGTAAAACCCTAGGAAGAGAAACAGGACCAGATACATTTTTTATTCTTGTTCACTTTCTGCCAAGAGAATTACTTTTTATGGATCAAAAAACACATTTGGAAATAATATATGGGTAGTTTTAAATGTCATACATTGTGATCTTCCTTTCTTGTTATAAATAGTAGCCAGTTTGGACTAACAACCAATTTTTGTCTGGTAGTTGAGACTACTTAGTCCAGTATGCAGAAGGAGAAAGGGTTTGTTCTATCCCGAATGATTTTGTTCTTCCCTATTTTTTCAAAGTTGATTTAGTCGAGACTTTTCATAGCTTTGTCAATTCTTTTCTTTTGTGTATTTAACACACCTGTTCGCAATTGTTACTTTAGTGTAAGTTATATTTGGAAATGAAACATTTACTGTATTTCTCAAATAAACTGCTGTGATATACTTGAATAAAAAGGTGCAAACTGTAACATTTTAAGTGTTTTTTTCTGCAGGTTTCAGAAGGGTTTCTTTTTTTTTTTTGCAGTTTTCAGGATTACTTTGGTTTTGTATCCAAATAAGACGCACATGCTCCTGTTTTACTGGCAGAAAGCTAGTATATTATATCAGTGAATATAAACCTTTTCAAAAATCTCTCTTTAATAACAATACGCTGTGGTATTTTTATGTACCAAAATGTTCTTTTCACCTTCACTGTGAGGCAAATGTTCATTTGAAACCTGACTTACCTGATTCAAGCAGAGTGAATTCCATGGTGTTCGAGATGTTGCACAGAAGCGCATTAACAGAAAACACAATGCAAAAGATAGAGCACAACTACAAAAGGAACACTAGAAGTGAGTGACAGTGGATTTTGACAATGAAACTAACATTTATTTTCTGCACTAAAGTTAGGATGAAGGATCGGGTGAGTCGTCATTGGTGAAAACCTGGACAGGTCCGTCGCAGCGAGGGAATAAGATGTTTGTCTGTGGCTGGTGTTACAGTACATGTGCTTCCATTCAACAATTAAGAACCCACCTGTACCGTAAGACCTCAAATAGACAAGCATCTCACTTAGAGTGGAGACTGACTTGTTCAGGTTATCACAAATGACAGCTCACGCACGGAAAAAAACCAAAACAAAGTAACTGCTCGTTTCATTGTCAACATTTGTTGTTGCTCACTTCTGTTGTGTTGTGGCTTTTGCATTTGTGTTTACCCTTAATGGGCTTGTGTGAGATGTCTCTGCCAAGTTTGATTTCCCTTGAGAAAACTGAAAATACATCTAGAATCACAGTTGCCAAAAAACCAGACTTGACGACGTGTTTCTTGTTCTGGTATATGTATTAGGTTTCAATAACAATTGTTAATTTCCTCTTTTTGGGTACAGATTTACAGACATACCGTTTGATTCCAACCTATCCTTTTTTTTTTTCTAAAAACATTTATACAGAATTGCCTTCAGGTTTTAAAATATACATATTTCCTTCTTGTATTTACAGAATACCAACCCAACATCTTTTGTGGGTTGCAATGAAACACATTGTACAAAACAAAAAGAAGGTGGGAGGAGCTACTGGTGAAAGCGAGAGAGAGAAAGAAATTAACATGGACTAACGGATAAGTTGAATGAGAACAGTCACAGGTGATTATTGTGCTTTTAACTGAGGAACAGCCCCAATTTTAACATCTCGTCAGACGTCAGTGGAAGGGAGAAATCACCCCCCCTCTCTTTGATCAGTTTTTTCCCAGATAGCATGAGTGAAAATCAAGTGGAAAAACAGGCCACTCAGATGATTTCTCAATCAGGCTGCAACTACTAATGAAAAATAAAGGTTTTCTCTTTTTAACTCTACCTGACCCAGATTTTATGGATTTCTTTCCTATGTTTAGCAAGTCATTAAAAGATCCAGGTTACGTGAAGTTCATATCTGTTTTTCAAATGACCTTAAACTCACGCTGGCTGCAGACATTTTACTTCCTGACGCAGTAGAGAGAGAAGAAACTTGTCAAAACCACTGAGTAAGAGAAAAAGAGTCCTTTCCTGTCCTGTAGATGTCACTTCTGAAAAAAATGTTCACACGCCACAAAGAAACTCAGCGCTAATGAATGACTAAAAAGCCAGAACAAAATCTACTCAAACGGACAAGAATGTGGATCTGCGATGGCTTCCACTGCGCTGACTGCGTTTGTTAAAGAAACAGGGAGTTGGTGAGTTCACAGAGATCTGGAAAAGACTGAACTCAAAATAATTCAAAACAAAGCTTTCTAAGAGGGTCCCTGTGCCTGTTGGATGAGAGGATGAACTACTACCATGACACATACAGTACTGGAAGTTAGGCATCACCACCTGACATGGCCGAGTAGTTGAACATGAGTACATTCTGCACAGGGCGTTTTGGGGGAGTGGGTGGGACGGGTAACGGGGTGGATGGATGCTGGCGTCAAGTCCGGAGGTCGCAGACCGACCGGCCCTAAGCTGCCGTCGTGCATCGTCCCTCAACCGGAGCTCAGCTGGTGTTTGGCGTCGACCCAGTGTGATCGGGTGCGAGCTGCCCTCAGCCGCTCTGGATGTACTTTTTGATGACAACGCAGCCGTGTCTGAAGAGCGGGCAGGGCAGCGACTGCAGCAGCGACCAGGTGTTGGTGCATGGGTCGAAGGTTTCCATGTTTCCGAGGGCCGGACCCTCGCTGCTCACGATGCCTCCTGTGGCGTAGATCTTCCCATCCAGGATCACAGCACTGCACAAAGACACACACGTTGGTTTTGTTCAGTTTTCTTCCTTTTAATAGTTAGAATTCTTAACGGAACAGTTGAACGTTATTAACTGTGTGTATCTACTCTGTGGAGTGTTACATGAGACAGATATAGATCATGTCTCTTTACATTTAGCAACATTCCACAGACTTTGAGCTCAGCAGCTCATCATTACCTCTGCCAAGGAGGTTATGTTTCCACCCGTTTGTTTATCGGTTGATTTGTATGTTTGTGAGCCAGATTACACAAAAACAACAAAACAGATTCCCATGACACATGGTGGAAGGATGGGACATGGGCCAAAGACAAATCCATTCAATTAAGGTGTGGACCTGGATATGGGGGCTGATCCAGGAACTTAAAATCCCTTTTTCAACAATTTACTTACTTTTCTGTGAGTAATTCATGGATCTTGATGAGACGAATATTTATGACTGTGTGCAATTTGGTTCACATACAAATTGAATGTTTAATTTTATTTGTTTAAATCCTAAAAAAGTCAGGTGTGAAAATAACAAATTGCCATTTTACATGGGTTATGTGCTAGTATCTTGACCATGACCGTTTCCAGTGGTTGCTGAGCAACTGCTTAGATCTAATTGTTGTTAACACATAAGATTTGTTTAAATAAACTATACAAACATGATATTACAAGTTCATTTATGAGCTTTTGAGGAAAGATTTTGTTATTTGATCAAGTCAGGCTAGCAGTTTCCCCCTGTTTCCAGTTTTTGTGCTAAGCTAACAAACGTTTTGGCACAAATAATGATGAGAGGAAAGCAGTGTCAGGAAGACAGGTAGGTCGGTGAGGATACGCAGGTGTAGCTTTGATATGAGATAGCAACAGTGTGAGTCACAGCAGCAGGAATGTTACTCCTATTGTTGATCGTGACCAGACAACAAAGCCCGACAGAAGACAGCGTATCTAAAAAAAAACACGCTGATTGTCACGCTGGGGGCCACGTCAGGAGTTTATTTGACATCAATCTCGACATGCCCAACAAGGCTATTTTGTATGAGTGAGTAAAAAAAAATGAACAAAATGCCACACACACATTACATTCCCTCTTGAGGGCAAAGGAGAAAAACTAATGAAAAAGCAAATATCTATACAAATGTGCTCATTTGATATGAGAAACAGAAACAGGAGTTTGTGTGCAGAGAGGATTAAAACTTGGGCTGTAAGCTGATTAGGGCTTTGTACTCCTATTGGGGTTTGTAACGATCTGCATTTACATAAGGTGCACGCTCAAACACACACGAGAGAGAGAGGGGGAAAAAAACGTGCAGTCCTATTGCAGAAACTCACAACACTGCTGGGACTGAAAAAGATTATTACATAAAGCCTAAATCTACTCAGAGAGAAAGCGCAGCTGATCCAAAATGGAGAGAGCACAGGGGTAAAGCCTGGAGCTGCTCTCCTCGATAAACGGAGGGGAGGTGCAGGCCTGCGGGGGGGCTGTGGGGCTGCATGGACGCAGCGAGGGGAGAATATCAGCTCTCCTGCACGATGACCTGCGAGACTCTATCCTCGGTGTTGGAGCATGCAGTGCAGATAGTGCTGTTTTCTGAGCAGCTCTCTTTTTATCGTGTTTGTTGCCCCCCCCCCCAACATCTCTTCGTCTTTTGTGTCAGACTTAGTTAAATGTAGCAGAACAGCTGCCTGGCGTGGTCGGCTGCAGCGTATCAATAACTCTGACAACGTGATTTATGATATGCATTCGGCACATAAGATCACTGACTGTAATTGCTTCCCAAATGCATCTCAGACTTCTCTCTTTCTCCTCCTTTTTCTCTCCTCCTTTCTTTTCTTTGCCTCGGCAGAAAAAGAGCAAACTGAATTCATTATCCAGCAAAGCAGCACACCTCAGCGGCTCGAGCTGACGGGGATATTATTAGAACATCCCATTGTTGTTAATTTTCATTTATCTGCCCTTATCAGCCATTAGGTGTCCACAAATTCTATTAGAGCTTCAGATGCATTCTGCAGTTTCAAACATGGCAATCACCTAACTGCATGCAAATAAATACAAAATATAACTCTGGGTAAAACAGGGAAATTAAAGGGGAAAGTCTATTAAATCTTTTTGAACAGATGCAACTTGTTTCACAGCGTGACAGACAGCCATGTTGCTGACCAAGCAAGTTACAAAAAAATCAAGCCCATGAATAAAAAAGCTTTTTTTTCTACCGAGGGAGAAATTTCACAAACGAAGATGCATCATGTTAGAATAATTGTCAGACCCACAACCGGTAACTTTAATTAGCTGGGCCTGAATATCTTTTCCCTGTGCAGTCGTTTGCCCGTGTTATAACGCGACGACTGAGGGATCAGTGCAAGTTTTATCTTTTGAGGCCGTGCAATAAAATTATTTCAGTGTTCTTGAAGCTTCGCACAAGAAAGACTTGGAATTTGATATTTAAAAAGAACAAAAATCTTCTCTTTAAAATATTCCACTCTGGAGATTTAACTTACATGTGGCGCTGCTACATTAATAATCTCTTACCTGCAGAACTGCCGAGAGTGATTCATGTTGGGACCAGCCTTGATGTTGCCTTTGTCTGGGTCATAGATAGTGGTAGCTCGAGCATAGGCTCCTCCCAGGATGAATATAAAGCCATTTAGACTCACTGCAGGGGCGTATTTGTTATCTAGAGATACGAGAGGGAGACAGAGAGAGAGAGGGGAGGAGAGGAGAGGGGAGCTTTTTGTTAAAACACAACCATTGTTTGCACACCATTCTCTCACACAGCAGAAAATTTCCATTCAGTATAATGGTCTCAATTTATTTTCCTCCCCCTATTCGTCTCCCCACGGTTCCCCCGGCCGCATGCAGAAATCATCATCAACATTCTCCTTATCACTTTACAGATGTGCCATTCACAAGATTGCTTTGCGAGAAAGAAACGGAATAGATGGGGAATCGGTAAAAAAGCAGAGTTCATAAATCACTGCGGCTTTATTGGGTTCTGCTCCAGAATGTGTTTGGGTCGGGCAGCAATATAAGAGTTACCTAAGTCCCAATGATTCACAATTGCATTACAACCTCTGGCACCTCCATAGATTCGCAGGGAGTGGGTGGGGGGAGAATGGGCGAAATAAATAAAAGAGGAAAACACTGCACATATATTGAAAATACATGAGTGAACAGGTGGCATACTGCATACTGTATAATTCAATCTGATACAGTGTATAGCGCTGAGGCGTTGGAGGAGCACCGTGGAAGAATTATAGATTATGGGAAACGAAAACTGTGTTTTTTTGTGGAACGATGCCATTGGAAACCCGCAGCTCGCGAGCAGCAGCCTTGCAGTGTGGGAAGAGGACATGCGTTTGGAACTCAGAGGGATTTCTCTAGAGCAGACTGCAGCTGGCCAATTTATACCCGGCATGAATAATGCACCTTCGCTTGGCCTCGAGCTGCCGTCTATTTTCTGCCACAACCGACGGACATCCCTCATCGGAGACGGACGACAGGAGGGCTGAAGTCAGATGCCCTGACAATGGTTACACCGGCCCACAAACGCTGCTCCTGTTTAGTGAACCACCTCAACCCTTCTCTATGCCTTCCTCCCCGCTGCTGAGAGGAGTTGGCGGATGGCGGCGTTCATATCCGGGGTATTTTCCTTATACACAGTCTGTCCCCTAAACTCATTACTTAAATTTAGGATATTTAGAACATCTGATGTTATGGCTACCTTTCCTAGTCACAAATACCAACATCAGTGAGGAAAAGACAGAGGATCACCTGCATCAAACATGATTTATCCTCCTGGGAACATGAATATCTGAACAAAATGTTAATCTATCCAATAGCTGTTGAGATATTTCAGTCTACACTGAAGTGGTGGACCAACCAACTCATTTTTCTGACTTCACTTGGTTGTTTCATGTGTTCTTTTACCACACTGATCACACACACACTGAGATCTAATGCTAACTTCCATCGGACGCATCAGCTTCAATTTCTTATCTCGTCTGGTCCTCGCAATCTGCCTGACGTGTTTATTTTCTTTTACCATCTTCATCTCATTGATATGCCGCTTCCAGTTTTTCTGTGTGTGGGGTTTGTGTGTGTGTGTCTGTCAGTGTAAGCTAGTGTACATGATGTTTTGTGTTAGGTCCCATAAACACAGAACACTCATTTTTCTCTGCTCTGCACCTGAGGCAGTATAATAACACGATTCTCTCAAAGGATTCTCTCTTTTTTTTTTCCCCCAAAAGAAACTCACCATCTTTTCATACCTCCCTCCCTCTCTCTACCTCTCGTGGACCAACAGTTTTGTGTGCTTGGAGGAGCACCAGGCAGGTAAATCTCATTCCCAACCAGCGAGCCTCGAAGGACTGCTGTCGGGGTTCAATGTCTCCTCACCACTTTGCTTTCACTCTTATCCCCTGGCCGCCAATGCAGAAATCGAGCCGTTTCTGCTGAAACAACGTGCAGCAAAGAGCGAGCACGTCTCGTCTGCGTCAGCTGAAAACTTTCTAACACAAACCCTTGCAATACATTCTGTGTGGTTTCGCTGCCTGGAAGTTAGAAATCTCATGCAAGAACCTGTGACTGACCACTGCATAGGAATTAATGAAGGGAAGAAAAGAAAAAAAAGACGGACAACAAAACAAGGTTTCAAAACAACAGTGGTAGAAATACAGCTGCGCCTGCAGGGCAGCACAAGTTAACACGGCCTCTGATAAAACAGCTTAGTCACCTCGTCTGCGGACCCTTAGGTTGAGGTCAAGGATGAGCAAACACACACACACACACACACACACACACACACACACACACNCACACACACACACACACACACACACACACACACACACACACACACCCCAGTTGTCACCCAGCAGGCTTCATCACGTGACACAGGCCTCCATTGACTTGTCGGCTTGGGGGACATAGGAGTGGAAATGCTGCGTCCAGATTGCTCCATCGGGAAATTGACTGCCAAGCAATTACATGACGTCGCAGCCAAAAGGGGAAGGGCAATCGAGGGGTGCTGATGGAGGAAGAGGAAGGAAAAGTGACAGAGCAGGAGAGGTGGACAAGATGTTTCCATAGTAACCTAATTGGACATGCCCCCCTTTCCACATTCGTTCTCTATCATACAATAAAACACATCATCGTCTTCCTGCTCTTTTGGCCCTGTCATTTCAAAGGCTGCTCTTATTCTCCTCACACTACATAAAAGGACATTGTGTGAAAGAGAAAAAAAACGTTTTCGCCGCCCCAATTACCTTGCTGTTATCTTATCTAAGCTTCTGGCAGCGAGAAGTGAAGCTTCTTTGTCCTATTTCTCCTACTCCCTCATGCTCTCTGCTGGGACAAGGAACGCTGGAGAGGATAGCCCCCACCTTGTCCTCCATCTTTTTTTTTCTCTGAAGGAGAACGTCTTGTAAAATGTCTCGGTCCTGCTCCATGTGCGACTGCATGTTACTGTGTTGATGTAGTGCCGCGGCTCAGTGACAACGCCCGCTGTTTGGGAGTCTCTATCAGAGAGAGCAGTCTTATCTAGATCTGCACAGTATTGGTTTGATGGAGTTGCCTATGATATATTGTGTGCGTGTGTGTGGTAGAGTTCCGGGTTTACAGCATCAGATATCTGCTGTTATGATGCAGGAATCAGATAGTGGAGGATGTGAGGTGAACAACAAAGTGTTTGTTTAGACAGAGGCCACAAATTTCATCATAGCTGTGTGTTTGTGAGTGTTTGTGAGTGTGTGGGTCTGAGTGTGTGAGTGACGAGGATGTGTTAAAATGTATGATTGTAAAAGAGCCACTTCATCTAAATTAATAAAAAGCATTTTCTCCTTTTAGTTGTTTTGTGACTTTGGTACATTTTAAGTGAGTCAGTCTCAGCTGTCAATCAAGACGTTTCAACTAATTTCTTTTTAGCATCACATAACAAATTAAAACCAAACTTGCAGAGAAAAAAAAAACACCCTTGTACAAACCTACCCAAAAAAACGTAATGTACTTGACGTGTACTTCAACTTTTTAGTTTGGTCCATTTCCCATTCACTATCATGGAGGAGGGCAGGGTGTACACACTATACTGCAGCCAACCACCAAGGGGGCAACCAATACACTTTGGCTTCACTACTGGAGAGCCAACATGTCGTCCATTTTTATAAACTGTATTCAACATATACATAATAAGAATACTAACATCTTTATGTTAAAGCTTAGCATGCTATTTTAGGTGAGCTTGTTATAGAGATTTGTTTGGATGAAGGTAGACCAACATTTTCATCCTGTGTGTGTGTGTGTGTGTGTGTGTGTGTGTGTGTAAAGAGATAAAGAGATTTAAGTCTTTCTGATTTCGATCAAATGAGATACGTGTTCAAGGATTTTAATACAAATCCAGGAAAACATGTTTTGATGGGAATTTTGTGGAAGGCTTGTCAAAGTCCTATTTGCTCAATCTATGTTGCAATGCCAACAGAAATGATAAATTAAAAATGTCTGTGGCTTTTTCACAGTAGCAAGGACATTTTTACAGAGATGTGTCAGGCTGACTTTTTTCTAATGTCATGGTTTGATGCTGTGAGCACCACAAACAAAATTCCCTTCACCTCCATTGTAGTGTGGTGGAGGCAGAATTCTCGGAGACAAATATCTGGAAATCTTGGCATTTTGGTAATTTGAGTGAGCTGCAGTGAGCTGACCTTCTGAGAAAAGCAATGAGGCTTCATAAATAGTTTCCTGCATGTGCGAGTGCTCCATTATACTCCCATGTTTCAGCACATGCAGTGCTGACTAGACAGGTGGAAGACAAAGGACGGTATAGATGAACAAAGCCGCTGAGACGTCGCGCATCTCAATAGACTTCTTGACTATTTTTGGCACGAGTACTATTATTTTTCACTCCGCGAGGGAGAGGAAGTCGGTCCTGATATGTGTTCGTGAAACCCATTTGCAGTCAATGCGGGAGGTGGTCCAAGCAGTTGGATATCACACGTACGCCCCCACACACACACACACGCACAGCTGTATTTGTGTCAGTCGATAAGACAGTACTGAGAGACAGAGGGGCGAGGTGTGTGGAGGGGGAGAAAGTGAGACAGAGAGAGAGGACGGGGTGAGAGAGAGAGAGAGATGAACGGGGGAGATTAGAGAGGGAGAGTGATGGAGGGAGGCAGAGGGTTGATCGAGAAGTGCTCCCCACCCGCTCACTAAAATCATCGCCGGCCCAATTTCACAGGAAGCACTAAACCCGTCCATTATCTCCTGGCTCGTCGGCTGTCAGATGCAGGCTCATCTACAACCTGACAGATGACGGTGTGTCTGTCTGCATCTGTCTCACACACACACACACACACACACACACACACACACACACACACACAAGACAATGCGTGCACACACACGTGGAGTAACCTCCTGGCTCGTTACATAATTCATGTGCTGTGTACCTGTGGCCCCAGGGGATGTATGGTTGATATGAGGTAAGCAGAGGTTTGTGTGTGTATCTGTGTGTGTGTTTGTGTGTGTGTGTGTGTGTGTGTGTGTGTGTGTGTGTGTGTGTGAGTGTGTGTGTGTGTGTGTGTTTCTCACCAGACCTTCCCTCTCATTTCTCCTCTGCCAGCTGCTCTGCCAGCCCTTTAATACCATTCAGCTCTCACCCCAAACACCCGCGTTACATAATCATCATTTCACTCATAGTAGTGTGTGTCTCTAAAAGGCCACTAATAACAGAGAGCTGATTTCTGGGCCACGGCGCTGCAGGAAGTGCCTCTGTGCCGGCGCTTTAATGACACAAGAACAACTTCTTGTCAGGAAACATTTGAATTGAAATTCATTTCTGACCCTGTGTTTTCTCGCAGAGCATCGCCTACAACAGTCAGACAGTAATGCCTCTCTTTTTCTGTGAGTGGCATTCAGGCAGCTCTCCTCCCTGAGAGTCCATCATGTGCCAACATCTTAGATGTTGATCCAGTTTCAAATATAGAATTTATATTTGTGTAGAAAATTCATCTAAATGAAAGTAAACAGAAAAGTGTTTTTAATTTTGCTTTGAAAATATGAATTTTGTTGCAGAATTAAAGGACTATTTCAACATTATTCTAATTTTGTTTTATTTGTAGATGGGAAGAGCAACACTGCTCAAGAAAAATCTAAAATAAAGCTACAAGATATAACATGTTGTTATAACATTTTATAACTGGTACCAGGAAGAGAGACGGCAGCTGTGTCCCAATAACATGCCGGCATGTTTAAGACTAAAATCAAGACCATTGTGGTCTCACAGGCTTTAATTTTAATCAATTTTATTCTTTCATTCTCTGCACTTGGTCAACTGTGTTTGTTTGTGTGCTTTAAAAATGACCTTGACTTGAATTAACAAGTGAGTTTAAGATATGAGAATGTATCTGTCTATTTCCCCCAAAAGGTCAAACTATCATTTTCGCGCAATTCAGTTTGTGGCTTAAAATGAAATGTCACATGTTTGTGTGTTTAACACGTTTTTCAGACCCGAATGTTAAACGAGAAGTAGCAGGATGTGTTTTTTTGTTGTTTTTTTTAAATCAACAGCCATCATTCCTGTGCTGCATCTTTCAAGGTAATATTTCTGGAACTTTCCACAGCGAACACAGCTGCTCACTGAGAGTTTTTGCTGCTACCTTGAGTTATGGCTGCTTGGTTAAAGGGTTCCTTCTGGTGCCCCGTCCTTCACAGGCGTCTGGTGGCCTCGACTGGAATGTTGAATAACTACAGAACAGTTTTGCCACTAACTCAATGTGAAAACCTAAGGTCAGACCAAAAAGTTATTTCAGCTATGGTCTTAACATTATAGTGACAGAGCAATGATATGGAACTACAGGATTGGACAGGTCACACACACATCACTGAATTCTCTCTTGACACGAGTGTGGATCAACATTCTCGCTGTAATAAACTGTACTACTGACGACTATGTCCTGCTAGCAATCAATAGATGAAGTCTGAAAAAGCAAATTTTTAAATGACTGGCTGGGGAACCTGTCACTCACCGACCTGCCTGCCCGTGCGCTCATTGCCCTTGAGAGGAGTTTTCAGCCAGAGCGATAAACGTCACTGAGACAGAGACGATAGAAAATACGTTGCTGTTTTCATTTATGATCCAGAATCTGGGCGGAAAAATCAAATTTCACATATGAAGAACGCAGAGGCTCAGTACGTGAAAATGTTCGGAACATTCGGGTGAGGGTGGCACCTGGGTAAAGCATGCAGAAGGCAGGACATGGAATATTAACTCTCGTCACCTATCACAGTTGACATCTTTGTCTGTATTGTCCTACTTCTATGTCTCATATTTTTCATCCTGAGATCTTTGTTTTCCATATACTTCTGCATCTGTTGCGTGTTAGAAACATCATCACTGGCTCGCTGTGAATTTTCTGATATTTCCTATTGTATTCTCACACGGGCTCACTCCTTATCCAAGCATTTTACTGGGGGCTGGCAGGCAAAGCTCCGGAAAACATTGGGCACAGCTAACTTGAACGTTTGTGTTCTCACATCCATCAGAGCATGTACTGAAAGCAGCTTTAGAGACATTGCAAAGGTGTTGTTTTTCAGTGCATGAAGTGCAGAGGCAATATGACACACTTACTATAAAGCCTCAGACATTCCTCTTCTGTGTGACAATCAGTTGCCTTCAAATGGCAATCAGGAGTTTATGGTCTCAACCAGAAGGAGTCAAGTACATGAGATGATATTCAAGTGGGTAGAGTTGAGACAATACTGTTGCTAGGAAACCAGGATGGAGGCTAAAAGACGACATAAGTAGTTGAAAAGGAATGCATGTAAATGAATGGGTGGAGTAATATGCAACTTCTCTAATTTGACTGCTACATTGCTATTTTAAAAAAAGCGTTAATGTTCATGTTTTTTCTGATGTGTTAGAGGGGAGCCATTTAACTAGCGGGTGGATTGTTTGCTCTTAAATAGAAAATGTGAAGGCATAATGAGGGAAAAGAAAACAAACAACACAATTGGGATTATCGAACCACATCCTCATACACAGCGCCTTAAATAGGAAACAACAGCTTTGTGAGGATACAAAAAGTGATGGTAACAATGGCAACACATCCCCCGAGGACATAACTTGTCTTCAATTGTGTCGAAGCTTGTGAGTGTGAATGAAAGCTCTTGTGAATGTGTGACGAAAACAGCCGTCGCCCCTCTTACCTATCATGGGAGATTCGATGAAACTCCAGGTGTTGCTCTGCGGCACGAAGGACTGGAGGACACCGGCCGAGCGCCCCGCCTCGTTCACGCCGCCGAACACGTACACCTTCCCTCCGCACACGGTGGCCGCTGCAGAATGGACCGGCTTTGGCAGGGGAGACACTGTTTCCCATTGGTTGGTGATGGTGTCGTATCTTCAAAGAAGAGAAATAAGAATTTTCTTTTTAGATATTTTGAGTTTTTGTGCACAATTAGAGTAACTTTACTCTTTGATGACAGTCTCCACTGGTCGAAAAAACACCTAGCATCTGGCTTTTGTCTGCAGTAGGAATGGATACATTTGGCGTTCAGTTCAAATGGACTCTGCAGTACACAGTAATCTTATTTTTCACATTTTGGGAACAAAGGGGAACAACAGTTTTTTTTTTATGTCGTGCAAAATGCAACACTAGCAAGACAGCGAGGTGAGAGAGCTTCACAGTGTTCACAGTTTGGAAAAACGCACGTTTACCTGCCAAGTTTGGTGCAAAAGATGAAGAATACATCATCTTAAATCATGATAAATGTGATAAGATCCACATCGAGGTTCAGACTTGACTCACAAGTGATTTCATGACCCTGCTTACTTGAAAGAGATGAGGAGTCTGCAAATGATTCTGCTACAATGCCTTCTCATTTCTACACACACCAACAGTATACAGAAACATTCACATTTCTAAGTTCCCACTGGTCTGAATTCGCAGTGAAATGCTCGTTTTAGCTGCAGGGCTGACAGATGTAATTAGCAGAATGCCTACACCACCAGGGAAGATGAAAAAGACCGACCATTACGTACAATGACAGCAATTAAAGCAATTACCCAAAGCAACATATGTTGGGAGCTACAAGCCATTACTCTCTAGAGCTGGGTTGTGTGTCAATGCCGAGCTTTGGACCTTCCTCTGTGAGCCCCCTCTTTGGCAGAGACTTCAACGCTGCGCCTAAAAACTCAACCGACCCAAACCAGCACAAACAGACGGATGAAAGGGCCCCGACACGATGGGCTGCATGACAAGAAGATGCTCGATCGCAGGGCAGTGCCCTTGTCAGAAGTGGAGGATGTGGGTGTGTTTATATGTATATTTCCTACATTTGCATTTGTGAGTGTTCAGACATGTGTTTGTGTGTGTTTCTTTTGCCCTGTGGCTCCATTAGCGCAGTGTGTTAGCGGCGCAATCCTGTGTCCATGGGCCACTGATCAAAGCAGCCAAGCCGACAGCCCTCCAGCTGGAGTGGGCTTCATTAAAAAGCCGCAAATGGATCCAGGATCTGTGATTAGAACACACACATCCATTCAGACAACAGCAAGCCTCCTTAATCAAGGTTGTCTCTTTGTTGTAAAAGAAAAAAAACACCTTTACATGAAAACTCACATCCAGTGTCCCCCAGGAGAAGAATCCTTACACTTCAAACGCTAAAGATTTAAGAAACAAAGACCCCCACAGCATCAATTTAAAGGCAATTTTTTGAAGTGCGAGTTTCCCACAGGGGTCAATGAACTTCATCAGGTGTCTGCTCCCATTACTTTCATATTCACTTTTTCATAAGACGCTCCTGCAAAGACGTACAGGTGTGGAAAGATATTTTTTCAGGCTGCAGATGCTTCACTGCTTCAGCTCCTTTTATTAAGTTAGGCTGAATTTAAATGACACCTGGAAGCGGCAGTTGCATCCAGCTTGCAGTGAGAAGACCGCGAGATAAAGCGCGAGAGGAGACGAGCGAATTAGCCTTCGGGAATATTCGCTTCGGGGGTCTGATCGTGTCCTTGGCAACAGCGGTCGAGGCGAAGGGTTTAAATTGACAGGCAGTCTGAGAAAGAGACAAAGACGACACTCTGGGAAAAGGTGGACTTGGAACACTCAGTGTGCCAAGTAGCACTGTTTAAACACACACACTCACCCCCCCACCCCCCCACCCACCAGCATCAGGTTGAGTAACTGAGCTCTGCTGTGATAGAGGGACTAACATGGGTCTCATTCTCTGGCAGATGTAATTACCCCTCGGACCACATCAGAGGAGGTTCTGAACTGTGAGGGTCAGACAGCGTGGAGTGACGCTGATTAGGGTCTTAGACATGAAGCCAAAAGGAACTACAGCAAACAGCTGGCCATGATGAAAATAGATTAAAGACAAAAAAATCTTTACTATTAAAGAGACACATCTTACATCACTCAGATCCTCAAATGTGATTTCCAGTCTTAGCTTTTCTCAAAAAACAACAAAGTAAGATCTGCAATAACTTTCAGTTCTCCTCAGCTCATTTGAGCTCACGGGTTTGATCCCACATTTTGGCTCAATCACACTTTTCTCATCAACTTTAAAGCAGCTGTTTTTAAAGCAGCACTATGCAACTATTTTTCTTACGTTAAAATGGCAGCTCCACAATTAGTTTGATAGTTTACTGACTTGGAATAGTGCACCTGTTCTTCTTCTCTTTGCAACTTCGGTGATCAGGTACGATCTCCGGTGAGAAGTGTGTAACTGATGGTTGCAGCCTAAATCGTCAGATTCAGGCACAAGAGAAACGCTGAGTCTAAAAGTCATTAATACCAGTATTTATCTCCTATATTCAGAGAGGAAACTTTCCAAATATGAAGAATTCTGGTGAATGGCTCCGGCTGGCATTAGCCTTGTTGGATGTATTCTCTCTGAGAATGCCCTTATAGTTCGCATTTATAGCAGGGAAGTGAGATCCAATCCCAAGTGGTCACCGGAGAGAAATGTATTTTAATACCAGGTGTGAACAGATAAACTTAGAGCTGACCACTTATGATCAGAGCACTTAGCTGCTACAGAGCCTGACATTTCCATCAGTTACCAAGAACAGAGCTGAAACTAGAGAGAATACTGACTTGGATTATTTAGATGATCATTGTCAGCTGAATGTGGAAATAAACAGCTGTTCACAAGTTCACAAGGTGATAATACAGGTTGTGAAGAAGCTTTAAAATTAGCTTAAACATTCAACCCTAAAAATCCTAGGTAATCTCCTCTGAGCAGTTCAAATGATCTGATTCGGATTCTGCCCGCTTCACTGTCATGAAAGAAGCACAGGCGAATATGTAAAATATGCCCAACCAGTCTAACTTTGTCAGATAATGGCTTGCTCAAGTGAGACCCCCGTCTCTTTTAGCGAGGAGCGGATCAAGGAGGGGTTTTAAGGGGCCATTAATGTAAACACGGCACAGCTATCGAGCCGTCAAATGGGTCAGGAGTTTTTGATGAAAGCCGACAAGTGCAGGTCAGAGAATAGTCGGCGTCTGCGACAGTCTCAGAGGTCACAAATCTGATTAAATTCATTACATGACTGATTCACCATCAAGCTTTTAATATGAACCGTGACATTAGAACTGACACTAAAAAGATTCTCTGAGTGGGAGTATATCGTTCAATTATGTCTCCAAGGCAGATGAGATGGAGGAGGGAGAGAGAGACAGAGGAAGAATGAAAACACTGCATTCATTACAAAAACAAAGACGAGATCTCTCCTTCTTATCCTCTGTATTCTCTCCGTCACACAGAAAAGGCAGACAGAGCTTTTTTCTTTTTGTCACTATAACAGTGTAGGAGTTTATCCGTCAACATGTTGCGCTGCATCCATTGTTTTTTCTCCTTCCTCCTCTTCTTCAGTGTTTATACACAAGGACTGATCTCTGCATGAAGCCATGTAATCGGCTGTAGCTCCTGACAGGGCTTGTTTTATCATGCGGGCACAATCATCTGGAAAATGCTGCTGCAGGATTACAACAGAACAAACAATGTACGATTGTGTTCTTGAGTGTCGTGAGAGAGAGACTGAAAGAAAGGAAGGAAGACAGGTAGAGAGAGAGGGAGGGAGGGAGGGAGGGAGGGAGGGAGGGAGAGAGAGAGAGATAGAGAGAGAGACATTATGCTGTGAGTGGTAGGTCACAGAACACAATTTTAATCCCATGTCAAGGTGTAAGCATCATTGCATTGGTAAAGAAAAGTACCAGCTAATTTGTCCTTGTGCTTTCCTCTTCACTGACCCGACAGGAGAAGAACACATTAGAGAATTTCGGATGGATTTGTTTTCTCCCCACCTGCTTGTCGGCTCGTTATTGCATATAAAAAACTGATGGCACCTTAATATAACAGTTTTCAACCTACTAGAGATGTCAAGATACCCAATTTGTTACCACGGCAGAAAATATTTACTTTAACACACACTCCTTTATAAAAACATTTGAAAAACAACAGTGGCTATGTAGCCTAATAAATGAAACACACACACACACACACACACACACACACACACACACACACACACACACACACACACACAGTATTTAGAATTTGGTCAGAATAGTTTCCATTGGTAGCTTCATTCTCAGGGCTGCGTTTAAAAAAAACTTCTTTTTAGCACCTTCATGGACAAAAAATGTCCTCAAGGTAATGAAAACGTTCTATATGTCTCATTCATTCACAATTCAATTCAATTTTATTTGTAAAGCGCAAATTATAACACACGTTATCTCAAGGCAATTTACATAGTAAGGGAACGACACAGTTCCCACAATGACCACTAGAGAGAAAACACATGAAGAAATATATAGAACCAGATTCAACTTGGGGAAGACTATTTAATATTAATGGTTAATAAATAAATGGTAAGCCAATCAGATTTTGACATGATCTCCATCAGCCAATCGTGTTGATTCTTTCAAACTTTAAAACATCTGTCATTTCAGTGAATCGCAGCAAGACTTCTCCTCTCCACTCACTTCTAGTCTCAACATCCAGTGTCCTGGTCGAGTCCAGCTGAGTCCACTCATCTCCTCAACATTTTCACTAGGAGGAAGTTTATGCCACTCACAAGAGTAGTTCCCATCAGATGTTTACTGTTGTTTTACAAACATTTGCATTAATACAAGCTCTGGTGAGTCTTTGTATGTGTGTCTTTAGACATTCTACTCTCCAACCAAACCTCAGAAATTAAAACTCTTTTGGCATGGGGCCTCATTAGAGGGTTTTATTGCAGTCTCGTGTACATAGAGGATAATAGAAAATAAGGGGCTTCTCACAAAATTGCAGTTGCGGTGGATGAACATTATCATCCATTCTAAGGGGGGCCTTCTAAGCTCGGGCCACAGGCAGTTTCCCTACTGCCTACCCTGTTGCAACACCCCTGAGTGCC